GTGTCCAGTGGAGGTTGCTATTGAGGGAAAACATTGAGAGGAGCAGAGAGGACCAATGCACAAGTCACCACATGGACACTGACATGACACGGGAGCTTTAGCCCTTGGGACAGCAGGTGCTGACCGGGACAGTGCCAGGCCAGGTTACTAGTGAGAGAGGGACAACTCAAGAGCTGGACTGAACCTCTCTCCCGGGGACATTTCCTTCCTTTTAAACACAGGATCTCGGTCAGCTCCTACACCGGCCAGGGCCAGACCAGCCGGGTGTTGAGTAGCAGTTATTGATGTCAATCATTCTCGTCATCATAATTCCTTTTTGTAGGTAGAGCAGGCTGAGGCGCCGCAACAGGGATTTGCTGGGTCAGCGCGCCCTCTGGTGGGCACAGGGAGACACAACTCAGGGGAAAAAGACGGAACCAGAGGATTAAATTGTAGAGACTCTCTGTCTCTCTCTCCCTTCCTTCCTTTCTCCCTGCCCTCTTTTCTTTCTTCCTTCCACACGCAAATTCCCCCAGGATCTGCTCCCACCTAGCTAGAGACCCAGAGATGACTGAGACAGTCCAGCCCTGCCCTCCAGGGCTTCACAGCGCAGTTGGGCGTTGGGGAGGAACATAGGAATCTCTTCTGAGTAAAGCTTAACATCGAAGAGGGAGCTTTAAGCTGGAAAGATACACGGGGGGCCGCAGCATGCAAAGCCTAGGAGGCCATGGGGAGGAGTCTGCCCACAGAAAGGTTTGGGGTAAGGGAGAGGCAAGGTCAAGTTTGTGATGTCTTGTGGAGGATGAATTGGAAGGGCTGGAGTGGGACTGAGCCCTGGGAGGAGGCTGGATGGGGGCAGGCCTGGGGGGAACCGGAAAGAGGTGCTGGCATAGTCCAGGGCATCCACCCCATTCCTAGTTGGAGGGAGGAACCTGCTCTCCAACCTGCTCTGGGAGGTCGTCCCCACTCTGGTAATTTGATGGCGGCTCCCCGACACACATCTCTGGACTAGGCCCAGGCCTCCAGCTTGGTGACTCCACGCAGAGACAACCCAGCAGTGCACTTAACTCCCATGGTTCATTTGTAACACGCTGGAGGACCCCTCCCTCCCAATAATCTTTTTCTTATTTGAGGGCCCCAGGGAACATTGTGTTGTAATCTCTAAATAGACAGTTCTCAAACTATTTGGTCTTGGACCTCTCAGATTATTAAAAATGATCAAGGGGCCGGCCGAGTGGCTCAGTTGTTTAAGAGCTGGCTCAAGAGTGTGAGCTCTGAGCCGCAGGGTCGCTGGTTCAATTCACGGTCTGAGCTGAGCTGCTGCTGAGCTGCAGCTGAGCTGCCAACAGGAGGCAGGGTGGCTTAGCTACAAAAAAAAAAAAAAAAATCAAGGACCGCAAGGAGCTTTTGTTCAATTCAATCGGTCGATGTTTACAGTACTAGGAATTTCAACCAAGAAATTAAAAGTATGTATTTATGAACTCCTTTTAAAAAATACCAATGACAAAAATATGTTACACATCCATGAAAATAACATATATAAATAGCTATATTTTCTGAAACAAAAACAAATTGCGAAGAGTGGCATTGCTTTATGTTTCTTGCAAATCTCTTTCGCGTCTGACTCAACAGAAGATGGTTGGATCCTGGTACCTGCTTCTGCAATCGGTCATCTGCGGTATTGTGTGCCACGTAGTCTCTGAAAAATTCCACTGAACACTTGTGAGAGTGAAAAAGGCAAATAATGTCTTGATATCTTATGAAAATGTGTTTGATCTCATGGGCCCCCTAACATGTCTTTGAGGATCCTTAGGGGGTCCCTGATCCTCTGCACTGGAGCTTCTGCAATGTCACAGGAGCCCTCAACTTCTTGGATGCTTCCTTCTTCTGGAAGTTTCTGAGTCTCTAATTTTTTACTCAGCTTCTGGGACCACATCCCCACCCACTGTGCCCCGTCCCCACCCACTATGCTCCCAACCCCCACCCCACCAGAGGACAGAGCAGCCAGGAAATGAACAAGAAGACAGATCATCATACCTGCTTTTCATGAATAAATGTGGGCCTAAAAGAAGTGGAATTGTGCTGGAAGTATGGTCGGGCCCTAAAATAAAAGGTGGCATAGTCAGTATCAATTAAAATCACGTTTTAAAAAGACGCTTTATGTTTGCATGTAAAGCAGAGTTAGGTTCTGAGCTCAGATCATTGTAAACTGATTTTTTTTTCACAGATGTGAAGGCCTGGTGGGGTTTCCCAGGGTCATGTAAGATGTGGACCAACTCACAGTTCCTGACAGTTCCTGGGCGTCCCACACACCGGGCATCCCCAGAATGCCCAATGGTGCCCGGATTATGTTACAAACCACCCTCCAGGAGGTCAAACTTATCCCAATAGGAGCTCCTGAAATACACTTCTGGGAGAGGGACTTGCTCCTGAACCTGTGGGTACCAGGTGCTCTCCTGGGGTGTCCCCCCCATAGTCTGCATGCAGCCCAGTGTGTCATGCTATCCTGTCCCCTTGTGAGAATGAACCCTTTATCCCAGTAACACTCAGGGCTGGGCATCGTTCCAACACCCACACATGCTACCTCCTGGGTCCTCAGCACCTCATGATAAAGTGGAGACACTGAGGCAGGGAGAGATGAAGTGACTTGCCTGGTTAGTGGCTGCCAGTTACCATCATAGCAACTTTCTGAGGAAGTAGAAAAAGGCCCTGCTCTGAACCAACTCTTATAAAAAGTGCCCCTTCGGTTCAAATGCTTACACAGGGTTACCATGTGACCCAACAGTTCCACTCTTAAGTATCTCCCACGAGAAACAAAAAGATATGTCCACATAGAAACTTGGACATGAATGTTCACAGCAGCATTACTCACAATAGCCAAAATATGGAAACAACCCAAATGTCCATTCACTGGTGAATGGATAAACAAAATGTGGTGTATTCCTGCAATGGAATATTATTCAGCCATAAAGGAATAGAGCACTGCAACACGGATGAACCTTGAAACCATGCTCAGTGAAAGAAACCAGACACAAACTCACCATGTATCGTATGATTCCATTTCTATGAAACGTCCAGAACAGGCAAATTCATAGAGATAGAAAGTAAACTGGTGGTTGCCAGAAGCTGGGGGAAGAGTTGGAGGGTGAGGGCTAAAGGATGCGGGGTTTCTTTTTGGAGTGATGAAAATGTCTTAAAATTGATTGTGGTGATGGTTGCACCACTCTGTGAATATACCGAAGCCACTGAAGTGCACACTTTAAATGGGTGAATTATATGGTATATGAATCTTATTTTCATAAGCACCTCACCCATGTGCCAGCTTTCTGTTCCTCTGTTATTGGGTTTCCCAATCTTTCAGGGTTATAAATAACACAGGGAGGAATACACCTGTGCTACGCGCCACACACACACACACACACACACACACACACACACACACACACACACACATCCCTAACGAATTCCTCAGAATAAATTCCCAATGCCATGTGTGGTTGTTGAGCCCTTGAATGTGGCTGCTCCAAAGGGACTTATTATGAAAAAGAGAAGGTCAATATCTCATTAATAATTGTTTTATATTAATGACAAGTGCAAATGATAATATTTTGTCCATTCAGAAATAAATAAAATCTATTCTTAAAATTCATTTCCTGTTTCTGTTTATTTATCGAAGGTGGCCCCTAGCAATTTAATGTTGCGCATGTGGCTTGCACTTGGGGAAAGCATTATCTTTCTGCTCTAGAGAGAAGGGTAACATCCATTTGGGGATCAGGAGGGTAAAAGCAGAAGAGAAAAGCAGGGAAATCAGAGCTGCAGGGGGGGGTTGGTAGGAGAGTGAGTAAGCGGTTTGGTTTGCTATAGGCCTGGTTGTCATGGTAACCTTGCAATTAAACTCGCTTCCTGCATTAAAAAAACCCACTGTGTTTTATTTATTTATTTATTTATTTAGCAAATGCTTACATAATGATAAGTCCTCAATAAATACTTCCCATAGCCACATTTTATGGCGCACCATGAGCCAACCTGTCTTTCAAGTATTTTCATGGATGACCCCCTTTAATCCCCATAAAGACCCAATGAGGTAGGTAGGGTTAATAGTTATCGCCATTTCACAGAGGTGAACACTGAGGCTTAGAGACGCTCAGGAACCTTCCCGGAGTCACACACAGGGGTAGGCGATAGAGACAGAAACCCAACAGCTGGGCCACAGCGCCTGACTTTCAGAGAGTGGGGCCCAGGACAAAGGAAGGTATGTCCCATGCCCCAATCGATGGACCCAGTCAAGGGAAACGCTTTCTTGCAGAAGTCATGTCCGACCTCACTGATGACCACACACCTATACAAACCATATACCAAAGCACAGGATTAATTGCACGTGCATCCTGGTGAACACGGGAACATAGGCCTGATTTCATTGAATGAGGCCTGCACCTGGTGGTGAGGTCTGTGCACCCTGAATGGTGCCTGCATCTCACAAATGAGGCCTGTGTACAGTTACTGAAGCCTGTTTCCACTGAGTGATACCCGTAAACTCTAAACCCAAGAGTGAGTCCTGGTCCCATCTTGCGAGACTAGAGCCCCTTGATTTAGGTCTCTACCTCCTCCCCCACTGTGAATTTGGCCTCTTTTGGGCTCATCACTGAAGATGATACTACCAACAATACCCACATCCTCCTTTCATCCAGTGGGTTAAGAGCTGCTGCCCAGACCCACCCCCACCCCAAGCCCCCCGCCCCCAACTCCAGCCGGCCGTGTTGCCATGGAGACCGGGCCCAGCTCCGGGAGGAGGCGAGCCCATGTGCGCAGGCGCAGGACCCAGTAGCCGCGTTGCAGCGGAACTGCTGAGATTGGAGCCTAGGGTGTGAGCCCAGACGCCACCGGAGCCCGGCCCCCGGCGGCTTCCCTCCCTCCGCCGCTCCAGGTGCCACAGCGCAGCCCTCCCCTGCACCTGGCCCTGCGTCGCGTCACTCAGGCCAGGGACAAAGGGCGGAGCGGCGGGGCCCGCTACATCCCTGGGCCAGACACGTAAGCCCCCTGCGGATTGTCGGACAGTCCTGGGGTGGGGACCTCGGGAAAGGCCACTGCGTCAGCCGGCCAAACGCTGCGGGAGTCCCCCTTCCCCCATCCCGGAGTCCTCAGCCCCTCCACATTCACCTGAACTTGAACTCCAAGCCCTGTGGCGCTGTTCCAGGGTGGGATTTGCATAGGGCACTGTAGCCCGCGTCAGCCTCGGGCTCCCTCCTGCCTTGTGATCAGCGCCAGCGGGCTGAGCACCATGGCCATGAGCCTTTTGCGGGACTGGTGCAGGGGGTTGGACGTGGACGTGCACAGGGCCCTGCTGGTCACTGACATCCCCGAGGGCCTGGAGCAGGCAGCCATCGAAGCCGTCTTGCAGCCTGCCTTCCTGCCCGTGGGCACATTCAGGGTGAGGAACACGAGAATCATGAGGGACGAGAAAGCCAAGGCTGCCCTGGTAGAGTTCGTGGAGGACATTGATCACTCCTCCATCCCCAGGGAGATCCCAGGCAAGGACGGCGTCTGGAGGGTTCTGTGTAAGGACCGCGCCGAGGACACAAGAGTCCTGAGGCAGATGAAACGCTTGCTGCTGGATGAAAGGCCCAGGCAGGCTGAGGTGCCCAGGGTGCCCAGGGACACGCCCACCCCTCCCACCTCGGAGACTGAGGCCCAGGGGTCGGAGCCAGCGGCCAGGGAGACTGGCTGCCCTCATGGCCCAGCCAGCAAGGCTAGGAGGGGCCGTCGGGGTCGCAGAAGCAGAGCCAGAGGCAACAGGTTTACCCAGAAGGGCAAGAAGAGAGGCCGAGGAGGGCGGCCGTGCACCTCGGCCCGGCGCGAGTCCGAGGACTCCTCAGATGACAGCCTGGGCATCGTGATAGAGGAGCTCGATGAGGGGGACCTGAGCGGGGACGACGACCAGAGAGCACTGTACGCCACACTCCAAGTCGCCGCCAAGGAGCTCGTGAAGAAGTGGTCCCTCCAGGGCGACGCAGATGATGAAGAAGACGGTCCCCGTGAGTTCTTGGCCCTGGTGACAGTGACGGACAAAGCCAAGAGGAAGGAGAGGGACAAAGAACCTCTTGGGGCTGAGCCGATCAGCCTGAACATCGAAGAAGACCGGAGCGGGGTCCCCGACTTGGTGGCCCTACTTGCCGTGAGAGACGAGGAGCCGATGGACAGCGACGCTTCCGAAAGCGAGTCGCCAGAAAACGGGGACCAAGAACAAGAGGGGGTGGGGAATCCCGAGTTTGTGGCCATTGTGGCATATACAGACCCCTCGGATCCCTCTGCCCGGGAGGAGATGTTGAAAATCGCTTCTGTGATCGAGTCGCTGGGCTGGAGCGATAAGAAAGACAAAAAAGACGTACTTCCCGAGGTCTTGTCCGTCATGTCCAAGGACACCTCCGGACCCCGCGTGAAGGTGGAGGAGGCAGGCCGCCAAGTGGACGCCATGGTCCTGAGGAAGGCCAAGGACGACGGGAACCTTCTGGAATGTATGTCTACCTTGGCCGAGCCGGAGACACCCTCCAAGGGGAAGAAGGCTCCGCGTGGCCTCTTCGGGGGCTGGGGCAATGAAGAAGACGACGAGGTGGGCCTCCTGGAGCTAGTGGCACTCCTGGCTGCCCAGGACACGGCTGAGATGATGAAGGAAGAGAAGGAAGAGGCCTGGGAAGGCGGGAAGTTCAAGTACGCCAAGGGTAGCCTGCGGGAGGTCCTGGCGCTCCTGGCTGCGCGGGAGAACAGGGAGTCGGAGGAGGAGTCGGAGGGGGCCTCGGACGGAGGCTCAGAAGAGGCATCCGAGGACACGGAGAGTGAGGAGTCAGAGCCCGAGGACCGGGCGTCCCGGAAGCCCCGGGCCAAGCGCGCCCGCACGGCTTCCAAGGTCCTGGGTCAGGCCGGCGCCCCCTCGGGGTCCCGCAACACCCGACGGGGAGGCCGAGGCCGCGGAGGGCGGGGCATCACTCCGGAAAAGAACGCCAAGGACGAGGCGGCGGGTGACAAGAAGAAGAAAGGGCGTGCAGGTGTCGGGGCCCGCGCCAAGGCCGGGGAGGCCAAGGGGCAGCCGCCCACCGGCTTTAAGTCGGCCCGCGGGAAGAAGGCTCGTCGTGGCCGAAGGCTGCCCCCCAAGTGCCGCTAGTGGCTCCCTTAGCCAGCGAGGCTGAGGCCGGCGATGTGGCCTCTCTGCGCTTTCTCCACCCTCCCTGCAGCAGAGGCCGGTCTCCCGCTTAACCGTGTGCTCTGTGCTCTGCTGTGCGCGAGGCGCGCACTGCGGGTCTCACCTTTACCTTTCAGTCCTTCCTTTGCAGGTGACACGAGCGATCCTGATAGAAGAAGGAGAGAGAAACGGGCACCCGGAGGCAGCAGCCCCAGGAGATGGGACCGTGTCTCAGGAGCACGAGACGGGCTTGGCTTTGGGTGGCTCCCAGTTAGCACAGGTGTGAGTGTGTCCGTGGACACGGGCATCTGGGGAGGCCAGCAGTGCCAGTGAGTTCTTTATGGCTTTCCATGGGACCCCAATGATTCCAGACACATGCTTCTAGCCAGTGTCTCTAGGCCACTGTCCTCTCACCCCAATCTGACTGGGCCTGAGATCTGTGATGAAGGCTTGGCTGCCAACTGAGCAGTGGATATCAGGGTGGGTATCCTTCCTGCCTTTGGGAGGAGATGATTCCAGAAAGAGAAGCCTGAGAGGCAGAGGGGGGCTGCTCTGGAGGAAGGGAGAGAAGAGATAGGGGAGGGGAGAGAAGGAGTGTGGTCCCTTTACTAGGAGGGGGAGGAGGAGTAAGAAAGGGAAAGAGGACCCAGTCCTGCCCACCTCAGGTGCAGCTGATACAAATGAACCAGCTGCTCAAGGCCAAGGCCACCTTTTGGTGACCACAGGCTGTATCTGTCACTCAGACTGCAGCGTTTTCCAAAAATCCAGATTATTTGCCAATGTTTTCAGTTGAGGGCAATTCACATCCAGATTGGTTTCTTTCTGCAGCGCTGGGCAGCGCCCCTCCCACAGGCCTGAGGCTCCCCTCTGTTGTCCCACCAGCTGCCGACCCCTCCTGTGGGCTGACCAGCCCCTCAGTGCTGTCTTTGCAGCCCCTAACTTAAGATAATAGGGTTTCCCAGTTCACTGTCTGAGTGAATTAAAGGGCAGAGGGGACCCTGAGAGGGCACCTGAGGGTTGGGACTGGTCCAGCCCGTGTGGGAGCTGACCCGGATCCTGTATTTAGAGAGGAGGAAATGTTTCCAGGAGGGAGCTGCAGTCCAGCCCTGAAGTCGTTCCCTGCCGTCACTAGTAACCTGTCCTGGCACTGTCCGGGTCAGCACCTGCTGTCCCAAGTGCAGATGCTCCCATGTCATGTCAGTGTCCATGTGGTGACTTGTGCATTGACCCTCTCTACCCATCTAAATGTTTTCCCTCAATAGCAACTTCCAATGGACACCCCTCCAAGTCTTCTTATCCTGGGGCTGTGTGTATTTGTGTACCAGTTCTGGTCCTCAGAAAGTGACCAGCCCATCATGCCAAGAGGGTCCTCCCTGCAGGTCTTGAGGAAGGCAGAGGGGCCCGTGCATCTCCTCACAGCCCGACTGGATTGTCTGAGCCCTACTTTGGGACGCCTAGGTGTGGAAACAGACTTGGGAGCTGCTTGGAGGTGGGCCCCTTGGGCTGCAGGGACCTCTCTGGCACAGAGACAAGTTTACCGTGCATGGAGTCAGGGTGGGCCTGGGACTGGGGAGGAAATCCCGTCCCCCTTGGGGGCTTAAGGAACTTTAGGGCCTGGCCCTGGGCTGAGTGGCCTCCAGAGATGCCTGGGCTGGGGAGGGCCCCACATGTAACTTCTCTAACTTCTCCCATAGCAGTTTGAGCCCCTCTCCTTGTGCACTTGTGTCACCTGGGATCCTTTAGTAAAGTGAACTACTAAGTATTCCGACCTGGTCTCTCTTGTGCTCTGGGTAGTGGGGGTGAGGAGTGTCCGAGGTTGGGCAACAGACGCCCCACCTGTCATGGCTGACTTTCATCCAGAGCACCCTGGCACTGCTCTGTCACTGATTTACACCCAGTGTCCTTTCTGCTTCAGGGTCTGTGTTCCCACCCAGCCCCCTGCCCTAATCCACCCACATAAATTCTGTCACACCTTAGCTTCTACCTGCCCTGCCTCTGGCCCTCCCCCGCAGCTCCAACCTCAGCTGTCTCCTGCCCTATCCTGTCTTTCCAGGTCCCAGCTCTCCATTCATAGTTTTCAGTTGTACCAGCCACATTACAGGTGCTCAAGAGCCACACGTGGCCAGTGCAAGTAGAAGACATTTCCATCACTGCAGAATGGTTTCTGGGACAGCGCTGGTCTACTCACTATCCCCATTTTATTGTAGCTCACTGCTTCATTGCCCACCACTCTCACATGGCTTCAGTCACCCAGAAATCCTTGCTGTTTAGGTTCCTGCCACCAGACCTCCTTTGCTGGCCCACCCAACTACACATTCTGGGGCCCTAGCCCTCACCCCTAATCCTGACCCCTAGTCCACCTCCCTCCCCACAACCTGGGTAAAAGTCTCTGCCCCATTCACTAGCTGGGCTCTGAGCTCAACCCATACCACCCGCATTCTCCTCACCCTGGCGCTTACCTGGATCTTCCTCTGTGCCCTGTGTCCTGTAACACTCTATGCACAGCCCCCAGCTCCCATGCTTGATCTTCAAGGCTCTGCGCTGGACCCCAGACTAAGAGACCTCCCTTCCTACCTGGGTCTCTGCTCCACCCCCATACTTGGCTACAGGGCTGCCAGAGAAGTGCTCTTAGGGCTTATATCTGATGTCTGAAGGAGTTACTCCCCTTCCCAAACCCTTTAAAGTCTTCCTACAGACCCACAGGTCAAAGCCAAAGACCTTATAATGGTTAGACCTTCTCAGTCAAATACCACTGGCCAATTAGGACCATTTAAATTTAAATGTAATTAAAATTCAATAAAATTGAACATGCATTTTTTTCAGTTGCACCAACCACATTACAGGTGCTCAAGAGCCACATGTGGCCAGTGCAAGTAGAGGACATTTCCATCATGGCAGAATGTTGTCTGGGACAGCACGGGTCTACTCACTCTGTCCCCATTTTAGCTCTCTGCCTCATTGCCCACCATTCTCACATGGCTTCAGCCATCCAGAAATCCTTGCATTCAGGGAACACGTGGGACTAATTCCTGCCTCAGGGCCTTTACACTTGCTGTTCCTGCTCCCTGGAGTGGCCTTATCAGGACATTTGCATGGGTCTGTCCTTCACTTCATGCAGGTCTTTCTTCAAATGTTACATTCCGGAGGAGAGCTTCCCTGACCATCCTATTGAAAATGTCACCCTTCCCGCCCACCCCCATCTTATTTTTCTGAGCTCTGATTGCCACCTGCCACACTTATTTGTTTCTAAGCAGCACACTGACTGTATTTGTCAAGGGAGTTAATAGAAGGAATTGGCGACACGCAAAGTGCAGGAAGGGGGAGGACAGGGGGCCCCGCAGATTAGGAACGCAGCGAGCTGCTCCCGGGCAGGGGAATGCTGCTGCCCAGAGCCCACTCAGGTCGCTGGGCCGCGGAGGGTTCCACGAACAGAGCCGATGGCCTCAGGAGGGATCACGTCGCTGCTGCCACCGCAGCCCCAGCAGCCTCCGGATAGCGTCCCCCGCCTCCCGCTTCCAACTGCTACCAGTGCCCACGGGCGATCAGCAGCAGCGCAGCTGGCAGAGGAATCGGGATGTGGCTGAGGCCCAGGGTCCCACCGACGATGGGGAGCTGGGGTGGGTGAGCGAGGGGTGAGGGGAAGCAGAGTGAGGGCAGGGCCGCTGGGGGGTGAGGAGCGGGAGAGAGTGTGGTCAGTCCTGTCCCCGGCCGCCTACGCAGCGCCAGCCCAGTGCCCACACACGGGGACTGCTGTTTCCAGTCGTCGAATGACTGACTGAATGAACCACGCGGGCTTGGCGAACCGGACCCAGATGCGCCGGGCGAGGAAGGTGCTGCAACGCTCCGCCCTGGCGGGAGGGAGCCGAGGGGCGCGCGGAGCAGCGTCTCAGGTCCGAGTAGCAGGGTCTTAAGGCCTTGAGATCCCGCCGGAAAGGGCGGCGCGCGGGGCCCACACAGGCCCCTTAGCAGTAGGTTAGTCCCAGCGGGGATCCCGGAGGTACCGAGTTCCAGAGGACCCCGCGGAGCGCTGCCGCCTCGGGTGGGAGGAGAAGGCAGCACCCGGGACGAGGCCGAGAGACCCGCGCGAAACTTAAAGGACTTGTATCCCGGCCCGGAGCTGTGGCTGCTGCGGGAGGCAGAACAGACAAATGCAGACCCTCGGGGAGAGTTACCTACGGGTGACAAATAATAAGCCTCCTAGAGAAGCGCACGGTCCTGCATTAGACTGTGATGACTGCGGGGGAGAAAAATCCGGAGGGCGGGGCTGAGGAGGTGGGGCAGGAGACGGTTTGCAATCTTCACCTCTTTAAGGTTGTGCGGGGAAGCCTTCACTGAAGAGGTGACATTTGAGCAAAGAACCGAAAGTAGTGAAGGGTGAGGCAGGTGGATACCCGAGGGAAGCGCATCCAGGGGGCAGGAACACAGGTGCAAAAGCCCCAAGCCAAGGCTGTGATACAAGGGGTTTATTCAGGTTTCATCACTGACCCCCTCCAGTGCCAGGCTTCCGTGCTGTGCGTAGGGGATGACAGTATTTGCAAAACAGGCCACCAGCCGTCATAGAGGTGGTTGTCTAACTGGATTCCTTGTGACTGGCGTTTAGATGTGAGGCAGGCTTGAAATGAGCATACAGAATCACTGGGCCCAGGTGGGGGTCGGGGCGTGCAGATAGTCAGGGGTTGTGCCCCCAGCACGGGCCTTGAGAAAGAACCTGTCCCGGCCCCTCAAATGGAGACGGGGACGCCTTAAGATATCGGGGGGGGGGGGTGACCACGTCCTAGAACGGCCCGGAGGGAGAAGTCAGTTTTGCAGGAACAGAGAAGTACACTCTTTCCTCTCCAGCGGGCCTGGCGCCGTCAAGGCCCGCCTTCCTCAGTGCAGACTCAGCCCTATATCATGGGATGCTTCGCCCCCTGCTTCTAGGTCTGCGGAAGAAATGTCAACTCACGAGAGTTGCCGCGCTTTATTTTCCCACCAGATAGCGCTCCAAGACCGCTGCTTAAAATCGCGCCCCGNCCCCCCCATGGCTTTCAGGATGCATGCACAGTCCACCAGGAGGCGCTCTGTGACTGGTGGTTAAAGTCGCATGGAGGCGGCGCCCCCTTAAGTGCTCTATATGGAGCGTTGGTTCATTGCTTTGAAACTCCAAAGCTCTGCCTGT